GTGTGAGGAAACTGATTGCTCCATCCAGGGCAGCAGCTCCAGCCTGGCCTGCATGGCTAGACCCTGCCTCCAACTCATGCTGGTCTTCCCCATGGAGCAGGAAGCCCCTGAGTCCCTCTTCCAAGCCAGGTCTCTGCAGTCAGAGACAGAGACACTTAGCTGTGCAGCTATCCCCCATTGCAAGCCTGACACTAAAAAGCATTTGGGCAATCTCGCTGGGATTCTCACGCCCATCTGGGAAGGGCAAAGAAGCTAAGAAACCGAGCTGGCTTTATGACCCCGTTAACATAGCACGGGTCCCACTTCTGGAACAGTCTGGCTTTGCCCTGCCCTGCATGACTGTGGAGAATGCTCACAGGCTTCACAGGAATCTCACCCACGAGGAAGAAAATCTCGCTTTGTATGAGGCCAGCTTTTTTTTTTTTGGATTGTGTTTCAACTGTTTAAAAGCAGGCAGGTGGTAATTATTATTCTTTCTGGAATGTTAGCCATACAGAATGTTTTTTAAATGCCTGGGGGAAAGTAAGGGAAAGGCTTTGACAATATGAGACAGGACAGATGTGACCAAAAACTGGAATAAGAATGGTGTACAAAATACCAAAAAAGGAGACTTCTCCTCCAATTAGCTCAGCAGCTTCTAGAAAATCAGACCTGATGGGTGCTTTCAGGTTCAAAGAAGGTGTTCTCTGTCTTTATCTTTGCTGGGAAACAAGACCAATAATCGCAACTCCCTGAAGTGAAAGCTGAAATGAAAGTAATGCACACGGCCTCAGAGCCACCGCAGCCTGGAGTGACTAACTTCACAGACCCTAGCAGCTGTCAGCATTGCTGGGTGCGCGGGAGCACTTTACCCACACGCTCAGTCCATCCTGTGAGGCAGATGGACTTATCTCATCCTTGAAAGATGAGGGGCCCAAGCCTGTGCTCCCTCCTTTCCTTCCCCAGAGAGTTGATAAGAGGCTTTGGTTCCTTTCAATGTCACCGTACACAAACAAGTTAGGGGAGAGGGTCTTTTATTATCTTTATTCATATTTTATTTATTTACATTACATTTATGTATATTTATATTTTATTATTATTGCTTTTTCCCCCAGATAGGCTGAACTTGAACTCAAAACTCCCCTGCCTCAGTCCTCCTGAAAGTTGATCACTACACTCATTAAATTTGGCATTTGAAGACCTAGATGTGAGTCCCAACTCTGTCCACTAGCGAAGAGCCTGAAACTTACTCAGGCTACACACCTCACATTCCAACGGAAGTCATACAGGCTGTTCTGCACCAGACACAAGGGAGCCAGAATATCCCTAATGCCCCACTTAACACACCACAAGGCCCACCACCTTGATCTAAGGCTGCCAGAACTCAGAAGCTGACAGCAACTTGGACTTGCCACGATGTCTGAAGAACCGCAAGCAGCTATGCCACAGGAAGGTGAGCAACATACTAGTCACCACATCCAGGAGGTGAAAAAAAACAAAAACCAAAGACCTGCTTTGGGTTAATTGTGCATCTGACCACAAAACTGAAAACAAGCCAGTCTGCTCCAGACTCCATGATGTGGGATGGTATCGGCAGCCCTACACCAGCAGGCACCGCCAAAAGTAGCTGAGCACTCTGAGCTTCCCCAGAGCTCTGTACATCACCCTGGGCCTCCACTAGCCACTCTACAAGGTGAGGGAACACTGACTCTCCTTATGGAATTGTTACAAGGCTTAAATAAGCTAAAGTAGGCCAAACAAACACACTGGCTATCTTCCACACACAAAATCAGCTGTGAAAGTTCAGGTAGAGAGAGCAGGTAAAGAAGCTCATTCCTGAGGGCGAAGGACTGAGCACAGCCCTGCTGCCTGGGCCCAGCATCCTTGCTGTCCTGGGCCCAGCATCCTTGCTGTCCTGGGCCCAGCATCCTTGCTGTCCTGGGCCCAGCATCCTTGCTGTCCTGGGCCCAGCATCCTTGCTGTCCTGGGCCCAGCATCCTTGCTGTCCTGGGCCCAGCATCCTTGCTGTCCTGGGCCCAGCATCCTTGCTGTCCTGGGCAGACTGCTTCGGCAGCTCCTGCTCAGCACCCCTCCAGACACCCAGCCATCTTCCCCAAGGGCCTTTCACCGCTGCTTCCTGCAGTGGGACTGTGCTTCCTCCTTCTCAGCTTCACTTGTCCTTTGGCTAAAGCACATCTTGTAGGAGTTTCGGAGTAAAGGCTGGTGGCTAGCGAGTAAACTTTTTAAACATTGCTTCTCTATTTTTTTTTCCCTGGTCCTAGGGCTTGAACTCTGGGCCTGGACACTGGTCCTGAGTTTTCTGTGCTCAAGGCTAGCACTCTACCACTAGAGCCACAGTTCCACTTCCGGCTGTTTTGGTGATTAATTGGAGATAAGAGTCTCACAGACTTTCCTATCCAGGTTCAAATTGATATCCTCAGCTTTCAGCCTCCTGAGTAGCTAGGATTAGGCAGGAGCCACCAGCATCTGGCTTGCTTCTCTACCTAATATCACCTTTAGATCTATGCTCCAGGGCTGGGAAGTTGGCTTAATGGTAGAGTGCTTGCCTTGCATGCATGAGGCCCTGGGTTCGATTCCTCAGCACCACATAAGCAGAAAAAGCCGGAAGTGGCGCTGTGGCTCAAGTGGTAGGACGCTAGCCTTGAGCTGAAGAGCTGAGGGACAGTGCCCAGGTCCAGAGTTCAGGCCCCCATGACCGACCAAAAAATTTTAAAAAAAAGATCTATGCTCCAGCTCATCTGGCTGGGCATAAGTCCAGGTAAAACTGTATTTGAGATTTCATAGCATTGTTCCACCTCTTACAGCATTTCCAGTACTGCTACTGAGTAGTCCACAGCCTCTCTGATTCTGAACGCTGTGTCCTGGAGGTTTTGAAGATCTTCTGTTATTCCACGGAGCTGTCTTGGAGTAGGTCTATTCCTTACAGCACTGAACACGTGGGACTGCTCGTGCTGCTGGACTGTGGGTGTCAATCTGTATCCTTTTATGTTTCCCACATAACTTCTTTCTTTTTTAAAAAAAATCTGTTTTCCAAGAGATTTCTCCTACTCTGACGCTTCTTGTTGGAGAGTGTGTGTGTGTCCATCATAGGGCTTGAACTCAGGAGCTGGGCACTTGTCCCTGAGCTTTTTTGCTCACAGTTTCACTTCTGGGTTTGGTTTTTTTTTTTTTGTATTGTTTTGATATTTACTGATTAAGTAAAGAGTCTTAGGGACTTTCTTGCCTGGGCTAGCTTCAAACCATGATCCTCAGATCTCAGCCTCCTGAGTAGCTAGGATTACAGGTGTGAGCCACCAGCACCTGCCCTTCGTGTTTGGCTTTTTTTTTTTTGGTTGGTCATGGGCCCCGAAATCAGCCTGGGCGCTGTCCCTCAGCTCTTCAGTTTAAGCTAGCGCTCTACCAGTTGAGCCATAGTGCTACTTCTGCCTTTTTCTGCTTATGTGGTGCTGAGGAATCAAACCCAGGGTCTCACGCATGCTAGGCAAGCGCTCTATCACTGAGCCACCTTCCCAGACCTCATGTTTGGATTTTTAGCTTTACATTTCTTTGTATTACTGGTCTCTACCACCCACCATTTTCATTAAGAACCAGTAGCTTGTCCTCTCCTGTGCAGACACGGAGTCTCTGTTTTTTCTAGGAAATGAAATAGAGCTTCTTTGTTTTCTCCTGCTCTTTGCATGCTCTCTTTCCCCCCACTGTTTATCCCGGTTTCTGTCACACTCATTTGTACCTCACAAGGAAGCAGTCAGTGGCAGACTGGCCATTCTACATGTGTGGAAGGGACCTCACCGAGGGCTGGAGATCAGGTCTGACTTCTCCCAGGGCTCTCCACCGTGTTGCCATCTAAACAGCTTTACCCCAGGATCATGCAATTTCTCAATCCTGCACTCTTTCCTCCCTGGTGGTGAGCCCCACCCCTGCACGTCTACCAGAATCTGGGGGTGACAACTCCACTGTTCAGCACACAGGCTGCCACCCTGTGTGGACCTGGGATAGAGGGAGATGAACTCGATCAGAGTCCCAGAGATTTCAAACTTGTCTCCAAGTAGAAAACATAACCAGAGTGGCAACTTTTTATTTTTACCATTTCCAATGGAAATATTTACAAGTGAAGAGGGAACAGAGACCAAACGCCTTGCTCTTGCTCTTTGCCCCGTGGTAGTTAAGGCAAGGGCTATGTCCTGGTCTCTGCCCTTCCAAGGCCAGACTTACAAACCCACCACCACATACACATCTCACTTGCTACGAGCTCACTGAGAAGGGAAATGAGAACAGCATGCTTGCTACAGAGAGCGCATGACGAGTTCCTGCGGGTCCTCTGAGACCCTCAGGAGCAGCTGGGGAAGACAAACAGGAAGAGGCACCGGTGATCCCCAGGCCCATGCTGCTGAGAAGACATGGCCTAGCGGGTCACAAGCAGCCCTCTCACTGTCCGGGACAGAATTTGGTTCCCACAGCAAGGACACACAGAGCCGCTCGCCAGGCCCTGCCACCGGCCTTCCTACCAGCTCTGTTTTCGCTCGCTCAAGAAGCGAGGTAATGCTTTCCATCCTCCCTTCCTAGCCTACACTTGGGAGCGTAAGAAGCCTTTAAATATTCATGGAAATTTCTGTACTTTGATTATAGGTTACCTTGCTGTGTAAGATGGGTCTGAAGCATATTTATTAAATATTACCAGTTTGAATGTCTGCTATAATTACCAGAAACAGAGACTATTCCACCCAGGATAGAAACTGTAAGAATTGAAGCCAGAGGCCCGTAGGAAGACGAATATATTTACCCATTCTGCCCGGCAGTTGTGCGCTTTTAAAATGCCAAGTTGAATTTAAGAAGTTGTGTTAAGAGTAAAAATTAGTGTTATGCTTTGTGCGACCTTGATGCAACGCGTGCCGGAGCTAGGGGAGCGCGCGCTGTAACTGAGCCCCGTGGAGCCCCCCGCTGGCCAGCCGCCCACCCTCCGGCTTCCACGCCGCGGCTGCACCGGCACCGTGGCCACTAACCAGGTTTTTGAAGAGCGCCGTCAGCTCCTTGGTGAACACGGAGAACTTCAGGAATGCACTCCCTAAATCTGGGTCATCTCTGCACACACAGTTGCCCCCGAACTTCTCCAGAGCCTGGGTATACTGTTCCTCGTTCTCCACGTGTGCTGGAAGAGAAGGGAGGGTTCATTAGTGTACCCAGCACTCTGCCCCCCGTCCTTCTCTGTTGTGAATCATACCACGGAAAAGTCGACTTACAGGAAGAAAAGTAATGCTGATAGATAAAGCCACCGTATCACTAGGAAGTCTTAAAAAGCAGCAAGGTAGGTTCGGAGGCAAGAGCACAATCCAGGTTGACAGGCCATAGCAGACCAAGTGATACTCCCAGACACCCTCCCCCGCCCCTCCCCACACCTCCCAGGCCTCTTCCTCCACCATCAATGACCACAAAAGGCCCAGCCCACATTCCCCAATCTCCTCTAAAAACTCAGTAAGAGATGATTGGCTCCTTCCCAGCCGAAGCTCAGGTCACACATTCAGAAGTAAACACTCTTCACACAGGGAGAGTCTAGTGTGGATCTTGTAAACACAGGAGAAAATTAACCCAGGCAGAAAAGTCTGTGAGACTCATCTCCAAAAAGGCTACTCAGAAAAGGCTGGAAGTCGTGCTATGGCTCAAGTGGTAGAGTGTTAGCCTTGAGTAAAAGCAGCTCAGGGACAGTGCTCAGGCCTGAGTTCAAACCCCAGGATCGAGGGAAAAAGAAAGGCCTGCTGCAATATGAACGAGGAGATACAAGGGAAACAGCACGGGGCATAGAACCAACAGCAGAACCAACATGTCACTTACATGGAGCACGACATTTGTGTGTGTTTTCTAAATTTCAGGACATGACAGGAAGTTGGGACTCAAGGAAACCAAAAAGCTTATCCTGGGAAACAAAGCTGAGGGCAGTGGCTGGGCTTTAAACCCAATGTGTGTGATCCGTCAGCACACCCTTTTCCCTCCCCTGCCCCACTACAGTGTTTTTAAAGCTAAAAACAGTTTAACCTTACCCAAAACAAAAGCACCCAAGTTTGGGGATTTTACCTACTCTTTCAGGTGGATCAATAATACCTTCTCCTTTGTTAATTATACCCCTAAAATGTGTGGCTCACAGTGCAGGGCAGGTCCTTGCAAGCCACATACTATTTTTTAACTATCTCAGAGTTAGTGGTCAAGACACAGGCAGTCCAATGTGGCTTCAGCACAGAGCTGAGGGCTGCAGCAGACACTGGGTGCTGGGAAGTGCCACGTGGCAGGAGAGGCGAGAATGCAAGCTCCCTGCCCTGCGTCTTCCCCGGCTTGTTCATGGGCGGCTGGGCTTCCCAATGATGCTGAAAGGGAAGGTGCAATAGATGTTTCCTTCCCGGGCAAATGAAGTGAAGCATCAAGCCAGAAGCCCCTGAGCATCTTCCTGAGATGCCCAGGATGGTACACTGTGAGAACAGAGATCCTCCAAAAGGACAGCCACCAACTCACTGCTCTACATCGCCCCAAGCTGGAGATTTTCCTACTAGTAACAGAAAGTAGTTGAGTTGCTTTTATCTTTTTATCAAAAACAAACTTAAAATGGGAATCTAAAAAAAAAAAAAATAGCCTGGGAATCAAGTTTCTGGAAAGGTTCCAAACCGGGTCTATCTGTTTTTTTATTTATATCATTGTAAAAGCTGTTCCCAGCGAGCTCACTGCCCTGCACCCCTCCCCCATTCAAATGTATCTTGCATCCACTTCTCATTCATGATTCAGGGCCAAGAACCTCTCAGCCAGGAGAAGATCTGGGAGGTGAGAATCTGAGTTGTCAAGGCTAGCCTAGAGAACCCACCTCTTCCCAGTTCTATCCAATAGATCCCTATTTTCTACTCTTCATTGCACAAAACCCATCAATACATTCAAAGGGTGAACTAAGAGAATCCCACAGAAATCAATCATGAGGCCATCAAGTACCTGCCCGGGCTAAGTTTAAAGGCAAGAGTTAGATTTGTTGTGTGCTTTTTAGTTTACCTGATTCTGTTCTTTTAGACACTATCAAGAAGGCCCAGTGCATATGGTTTAAGCAAAACTGAATGACCTAAAAGGAACAAAAGGCAGCACTACTCCTCCTTCATGGGCTATATACACACATGCAACCTGCCAGATCAAAGAGGCCCAGCACAGCAAGGAGGCAGGCCACCGCCCGTGCTGCCAAGAGGGGGTTCCCCGCAGTGCGCCTGAGCTGCCCTCACTTCCAACACACATGTCTCATTCATGACTTCCAGCGTAGCTTCAGGGCTATGATGGAGATGAAAGCCTTCAGAGAAAAAAAAAAGGCAGTCGTGTGTGTATTCACCACTTACAGGGTGCCCAACACCGGGGATCAGATGCCAAGAAGCAGGTATTTGGGCTGAGCCTTCAAGGATGGTAGGAATGGCCAAGTGGGAACAGGGGGGTGTCAGGGGAACACCAGGGCGTCCCTCGCGCTCAGCATGTGTTAACACTTCCTCTGTCAGGGCTCCTGTCTGCACGAGCTCTCAGCTCTGAGACATCAGGCAGCACAAGCCTCCTTCCTGTCCCCACTTCCCTGGAGCAGTCCATGTCTGCTACCGGGTCTTGTTACTGTAAGGATCCTGAAGGAGGAACACTCAGGGCCCTCTCTTTACAGACAGAGAAGCCAAGCCCAAGGGAGCGGTTGGTGCCTTCACCGGGGTCACACAGCTATCTGCAATGGAGCTGCAACACAACATAGGTTTTCTAACTTGCTACCCAATGCTCTTCCTCCATGCTAGCGATTGCTTTCCACGTTTGCTCATCACCTTGTCATTATCCTTGCTGGAGGGAGAATAAGACAAGGTTACAACTTTCCAGACAAGCACACAAGCTGCTAGTCCAAATACCAAGTGTCATGACCATCAAGAAAGCAAAAGGAATCAGGGAGGGGAGGGATGAGGGGGAAGGGGGTTGTGCCCTAACCTGAGAGCCACTAGGCCCCAGCCTCCCCTGGGCGGTCCAGCCCTCTGCTCCAGGCCAGACCACAGCTACCTGGAGACTGGCTGAGTAAAGAGCGTCTGCTGGGACAGCACCTTCCAGCCACCCACCCAGCTTGTGAAGGGAGCACCAAGGAAAGAGGGATGTGCTCCACAGCAGCAGCTCTGCAAACACTCTCCACCTGACGATGATGATGATGAATATTCAAATGTGTACATAAGGCTGCTCTGCAGAGACCACGCCACAGTGAGAGCTGCACATCACCTGGTTTGAGATCTAACCTGTGGCACCCAACCTTAAGGAGAACAATGTCCTAAAACCTGAGATCATCTCATTGCTTACTAGGATCTCTCTTTCCTAGTTCTGTCCCATGAGAGAGCCATTTTTAGACTTTATTTCCTGAGGCTTGCTAGATGAATGGCTGAAAAACCCTCCCAGTTCACAATCTAGTATCCTGTATTAAAAGTCCTAAAAACAATTGGGCCACTCAATGATGCCACTTCCAGTGATCTATCCTTAGTCAAGATTACCAAAGTGTGTGGGTACAGGACCATCTGTAGTGACAATAGAAAAGGCCCCAAGGAGAGGAGGTCACTAAGAAACAGTGTATTTATACAGCAGGATGACTCTGCTTTTAAAATGCAGATGTAGGAATAGAAGACAGAATGCTGAATTTAAAGTTGGATATTTAGTCAACATTGTAGAACAGAAAATGCATAGCAGGAGGGGGCTGGGAAGGTGGCTCAGGGGTAGACCACTTGCATTGCATGCATGAGGCCCTGGGTTCGATTCCTCAGCACCACATAAGCAAAAAGAAAAAAGTCGGAAGTGGCGCTGTGGCTCAAGTGGTCGAGTGCTAGCCTTGAGCTGAAGAGCTGAGGGATAGTACCCAGGCCCAGAGTTCAGGCCCCACAACTGGACCCCCCCCCCCCAAAAAAAAAAAGAAAATGCATAGCGGAGGCTCAAAGGAAAACTCATCAAAATGCTAAAGGAACAGTGGTGGTTAAAAAAAAGAAAAAAGTAAGAACCCAAAGCTGTATCCGATGTGTGGTAAGTAGTGGCGTGCACTATCCAGAGCCACGCTGTCTAGGCATTATTTTATGCCTCTGGAGGTAGGTGTTTCACAGGTGAGGAAAGGGGCTGCAGGTGCACAGACAATCAGCACAGGCCCCCAAATTGGGCAAAGACGGCTCACATCTATAATCCTAGCTACATGGGAGGACAAATAGCTTAAACCCATCTGAAACCATAGCTGAGTGTGGTGATACGCACTGTCATCCTAGCTTCCCTGAAGGCTGAAATCAGGAGGCTCACAGTTCTAGGTCAACCCCAACCCTTTGAAAGATCCATGAGACTACTGCATTAACAGAAGAGTCTGGATATAGTGGTACAAACCTATCATCCCAGCTACTGCGGGAAGCCTAGCACAGGTGGATCACCATCCAGGCATGCAGCTGGGCAGAAAATAAGACTCACTCAAAAATAACCAGCACAAAAGAGGGCTAGAGGCATGGCTCAGTGGTATAGCACATGCCTAGTAAAGAATAAGGCTCAAAGTTCAAACCCCGGTACTGCCAAAAAAACAAAAAACCTACTTCCGTCAAGGCTTCCCTAAGAGTTCCTGCCGGCCCCGAATCCTTGGGAAACCACCAGTGCCTGCAGATGTAGCTCTGGGGTGCATACAGACTGTCTGTGGCCAGCACAGGCAGCAACAGTTCCCAAAGCCAAGGCGAGGGCTGGCTGGCCAGGGATCCCTGCACTCTGTCTCAGGTTCTGTTTTAGGTCAATGATCCCTCCTTTCAGGGATGGCTGAAAGTCAGTGTGAATAATTTAACACAACCCCAGCCAGCTCTCTAACATCCCACTGCTTATAGGAGTACATCTGGAAGCCAATAAGAGGGTGAAGAGCTGACTGATCTATGGCTTGATTTCTGTAAAGTTGGTGCTTTCCGCCTCTTCAGATTATAGACTCCAAATGGAGAAAACGCCAGCCTTCGCTGTTATTTCCACTCTGTACTTACCAAGTGCCCATTATCCTAAGGAATAAACCCAGGTGTGCTAGAAACTAGTATGCAATAAGCTCCTGTGAATACAAAGCTTCCTAAGACAGAGCCTCTGTGCACTGGAGCCAGACTCCATCTGAGAGGGAGACTCAGAAACCAGTCC